AGTAAGGAAAAGGGAAGTACCAAGAGTTACACTTGAACTCCTAGACTCTAGTGCTTATCTGTGTTTTTTTTTGAAGTATCCTTTGTTGCTAAGGAAGGGAAAGGAATGTGCTGATGATAATTATTTACACTTTATGTGTGGTTAGTCAGCAAGCAATGAAAAACTCTCTTACATGAAAGACTTAACTTGAAGTTAAGTCCTAGAAAAATATTTTGAAAACTTGCACCCAAAGGGTAGCGGCTGCTGGTTTCCTTGTCATAAAAAAAATATATATATATTTTGAAAACTTGAAAGCAAATAGTTTGTGTTTTAAAAATCCATTTCCTTTCACATAAACAAATGCAAGGACATGATTTTTGTTTTCCTTTTCTTTAGTTCACTTCAAAATTCTCAAGAAATATATTTTCAGGCAACTTTCTTGACATCCCAACACGCGAGAAGTCAATCTTTTCCTTTTAATTACTGCTTATTCTAAATTTTTAAGAGTGGTCAATGCAATATTTAGATCGTACTGAACACTACTTATTATGTTGAAGACATCCCTAATATCTCTCTTTCAGATAAATATACCTAAAACATCACTGTGACTTGCAACTTATAAGCTAACCCGACAAGGAATTTCGCTACCTTAGGACAGTTATAGTTATAGTTACAGTCACCGTTCACGGGGGACTTCAGTTGCTGGCTCCCCTGTCATCACGTCACCAACTTCCTTGACCTTCCGGATGTCTTTAGAGTTTAGTAGGAAGTGTACGGTTTTCACTGTTTATATGAGATAGATTCTTAATGGAGCCATCTGTCAATAGCCAAGGTAAGTATCCTTCTGTAGGTGTAAATATGCATTATACACTTCTTCTGCATTTGTCATCCACCTCTGTTGACTTCTCAAGTCTTTGGATCACTAACAGTCACCAGCTGCCACATGAACTCATACCCTTTTCTTACTTCCATCTTTTCTTATTATGTCTATGATTTCATGTCTCAGGCTTACAGGATTGAGTCAGCATCTTCAATTGGAACCACTCTAATCTTCTCTCTCTGCTTAGTTAAATCTTCCCCTTCATAAAAGTGTAAAAAAAAAAATCCGCTTCATATAACATATAAGTGACATGATTTGATCACTGGAAGTCTATTATTCTTGCGCAAAATCGGAAGCTTTACTTTAGCATTTCATAATCGTACACAGTATGAATTAGAATGAGTGGTCACCAGTTGCTTTATCCAACAACAACATACCCAGTGTAATCCCACAGGTGGTGGGATCCGGGGAGGATTGAGTGTACTCAGACCTTACTCCTACCTCGTGGAGGTAGAGAGGTTGTATCTGAAAGACCCTCGACTCAAGTAACGTATACCAAAACTGTCTGAAAAGAAAAATTCAAAAATAAAGAGGACATAGCAAACAATAGGGAAAACATTACATAGCATTCAGAAAACAAGGAACAGTAATAACAACCAAATAATGTGATAACCGAAGCATAGGAAACAACATGTAGTAACAAAAATAATCTGTTATCACATTATTTGGTTGTTATTTTGTTTGTGAATTTCTTGTGAGTGACACAGTAATGAATCATGAATAATGCAGCATGGGAGGCATCATTATATTTGGTTGAATCTGTCAATAATGGTGGTCAGTTTGGAGTGATGCAATAACACTCGACTTTGGTATCTTGCATCTAGCACCTTTATGTTGTCTAATTTTGTGCTTTGGCTACTTTCTTGAATTGCTGAAATAGGTTGCAGTTGCTGCACTTTACTTTGAGGTGCAAAGAAGTTCTCGATCAGAAGCGAAAAAGGAGGAACTTCGTAGACAAGATCTGGAGGTAGTCTCTCAAAATCTTCGGTTACTTGTTTGGTCTTGACAAACTCTTTTGTATCACCCAAAACCAAAAACACTGAACATTCCTAAAAGTATATGTGTTGTTCCTGTGATGTTATCTCAGTAAACATCTACCTTTGCATCTCTTTCTCAAGTTTATGGTTACAAATTATGATTGTTAAGAGCTAACTCTTGAGGTTGAGTTGACAAGGTCCATTTTTTTAAGTATCATCATCACTCATCATCATCATCATCACCATCACTCATCATCATCATCATCACCACCACTCATCATCATCAGTTGACAAGGTCCATTTTTTAAGTATCATCATCACTCATCATCATCATCTTCATCTTCTTTGAATTTTCTGTCTAAAACAATCCTTTCCTGTTCTATTACATCATGAGTTGAGATCAAAAACATCTATTAGCTATTATAATGAACTGAAATTCATCCTTCTTGAAATTTGTTTGAGCTATATTTGAGATCCTCATTCGTTTTCTCAGCAAATGAGGGAAAGAGATGATGCATTGTCACGAGAGGTGGAGAGCCTGAAAAGCAAAATTCAAGAGCTTGAACAGTTGGCAAGGGGACGAGGACTAGCTGGAGTGTTCAATTTCAGACCTTCTCAAGTCGAAGAAGGCAAAGTACCAACACTAGCATGATCTATTGTGTGATGTTTTGGCAGCAAAATGATCAGATATTTTCTCATTCTTTGGAGCCAAGAATCATACGCCTTCTGTAAACCAGAAGCCTAGGCTCCTTGCTGAAAATGAAGTTGAATCTTATGAAAATTTCCATTGATGTTATCAATATTGTGAGTTCCATTGCCTGAGTTTTTTGCTGTGTCCTCCTTTGATTTATGGCACTATACTGATTTTACTTATGTCTAACACCACATGCTTTCAAGAGACTTGTGTACTTAGCAGTTAGCATCATAGGGTGCTAAATTGTGAAATGTTGGATTTGGAGATTTTTTTTCAGCCATGTTCTAATGTTCAATACTGGTGAGGTGACATTTTGACCAGATGCTCCTTACCTGCAAAAAATTTATGTAATACAAATATAACACCAATATTTATACTTTAGCACATTTCAATCCCATCCTATATGAATGGGAGGCATCATGAATTGACTACAGCCCATAGGGAATCTTGAAGATGGATAGTGGGGTGTGATGCCTTCCTTGCCTTGTTGTTTCTCTCTTTTTACTTACCCACCAAAAGGGACCTTTTTGCTGATGGATCTGGATTTTGCTCACAAAAAGCTTCTACTCCCTCTGTCCCTAATTACTTGTCTACTTTTGAATTGACACACCTATTAAGAAAGTAATTATCGATATAGCGAGTTTACCATTTTAATCCTATTAATTATGAAGTGGATAAATTAAAAACCTAAGATTTTCAAGAAGTTCTACCTTTTTCAAAGTAATTAATCGAGGGTATAATAGGTAAAAATATTTTGTCCTTTCTTGATTTGTCAAAATGGACAAGTAATTAGGGACAATTAAAAAAAGAAAAGTGGACAAGTAATTAGGGACGGAGGGAGTATCTTCTTTCTCAATGTGGGTAAAAAGGACCAATCTCTTTGTGCCACACCAATTCTAAAAATGGAGTCCTATTTTAGTGTCTTTTTTCATTCTTCTTTTAACTTTTTTGTTCCATTGTATATAATATTAATAATCAGATTTATAATTCAAAAGGCATTTTAAATGGTAAATAAATCTTTGATATGTTTTTAATATATAAATTAAATAAGAATTCATTGTATGCTTGTCAGTTCTTATGCCCCTAACAGTTTTTTTGTGGTGAAGTCATTTACAAAATAGGATGCTTTTAAAAAAAAAAAAAAAAGACCTTATGAGTTGTGGAAAAATTATATATTAACTTGAAATATTAGAAAGTTGGAGGAATCTTGCGTATTTTATAAATACATGATCCTGCAATAGATCCATAATAAAGTAATATACTGAATTGTTTATTTCTCGGATATGTTGGTAATAGTGATGCATATAAATTTCTTGGTATGTTAGTAGTGATATGATTGAGTGTAATAATACCGTTGAAATAAAAAAACAATTGGTAGTGTTTTTTAAAAAAATAAGAGATAATATTTCTTATGTTCCTATTGTTCAAAGTGTAAATACTTCCAATGCTCATTGTCGTTCAAAATGATTTTGAAAATGAGAATTAAAGGAGGAGCAAAAGAACAATAAAAGATTATGGATTTTACATTTATCTTATTGATAATGATTCTATATATTTTCTAACACAATTTTTTCTCTTCGTACGCCTCTTATGAAACAAATTGTAAAAGCTAAAACAAATTATATTCTAAAAAATAATACTTAAGATTTATTGGTTCACCCGAAAAACTAAACGCATTTGTTGTAAATAATTACTATTTTTTAGAAGGAAGTATAATTTTGATGATTCCATTGATAGATATAAACCTAGATTCATTGTTGTTAAGAGTTTACTTAAATATATTAGCAATTGTATTTATTATGCAGCCAATACTATTATATAATGCTCGCAATAATGCAGCCACATATGATGTAATGATGCATATTATACATATAAACATATATTTCCTTTATTATCCCAAAAAAATAGAACAATTTACTTATAAACAATATTGATTATTTCAACACTTGTGCAAATAAATCTATATATTAAATGCAACTACACTAAGAAAAATTAGCGTTAAACATTACTAATATGTCAAAAACCAATAAGAAAGTCATAACTTATTGCAAATTAAGATCTTATGTCCATAGAATAAGCATACAAAAAAACTGAAAATATATATATTTTTTTAAAATTCACCTATTATCTTCAATTTTTTCTATACAAAAATTAAAATGTGATAAATTCATTGCATAAAAAAAAAGTATAATGTATACTGATGTTTCCTTCGATTTTTCAAAAAAAATAATCCATTTCTATACACATATAGTTGATTAGTAGTAATACATTTTCTATTTAATATATTTAAATCATGACTTTATCAAATCAGACCACACACGAATAATTTAATTTCAGTTGGATTTAATTTTTTAGTTTTATCTTAATTAACAACTGTCACGCAGATTTTTATTTTATTTTATTTTTTTCTCAAGGGTTTGGATAGAAATATATATAAACCAGTCTTTCAATATATATAGAGAGAAAATTTCACAGACAGAAATCAAAACCCAAAAACACTTCTTACACTTTCTCTCTTTTCACTGTTCGGAGGCCGCAATCTCTCCTGTCTCCTCCGACCCACCCGCCGATTACCGGTAAGAACCCTATTCTTCTTGCCGGTCGGGAAATTTCCTGGCTTACTTTACCAATTTCGGCTTTTTAAAACTTTTTTTGATTGACTAATTTGTGAGTAATTGTCTACTTTTTTGCCATGTTTTATTCCTTTTCTTTTAAATCTTGCTTTATGTGTATATTCCCTTCAGAATTGTTAGTTGATTGTGATGATATTATTGTTCTTTTGATTCCCAGTTTTAGGGTTAGGTAAATGGGTTTTCTACCGCCGTTAAGATCGCCTTATTTCCTGGGTTTTTGTTGAATCGAGCAAGATTGTGTCTTTTCTGATTTGGGTGTTGTGAAAGTTTCCTACCATCTAGAATATACATATTGCTTATAGAAAATGTTTGCTGTAACCGTTACCTCATCCTAAAGAAGTTTTTCGAAACTAAAATCGATTTAAATCTTATTTAAGATCAACAATGTCTTAAGAGAGATTGAGTGGATTATTAATTTAAAAGGAATTATTAAACAAATCGATTATAAATAATAATTAACGATTTCACATCTAAAAAAGCTAGAAAAATAGATTTTAAACAAAAGTATGTATAATGAAAAAATAAAAGTATTAGGGCCCTATCTTATATTTCGATTTAGTCCCCCAATCTTATTGAGTCGGCCTTAGAGCTCGTTCATATTGATGGTCTCAAACTTGGAAGTTAGAGGGTCAATCAGAAACAATCTCTCTACGTCACAAAAGTAGGTGTAAGGCTTTTAATCTTACCCTTCTCAGACTTTACTTATGGGATTACATTGAGTTTGTTTTGCTTTGTCATGTCTTCAACAAACTTTGGTATCACTCACCTGTGCCTCCATAGGGTCAAAGGAACTCAGGTTCCTCATAAACAGAACTCTTTGTGAAAAATATCCACAAATAAGGATATTAAAAATTCAAAGGACAGCACAAGAAATCTGCTTTTGATATCATCGCTTACTCGTCCACAATGCTAATCTGATCAAATGAATGAACAATGTCTACTTATACAAAAATTAGTCACATAATGTAACATTAGTGCTTATAATCAAATTATAACACAAACTTATCTTTTAAAACGACATCGTTGTACCTAAATATTCTTACAAAACAAGCGATCAACTACTCCTGTATCACATCTTCAGCATGAAGCTCTACATCTGTCTCATTCTTCAAAGACATAACACCTTTATCGCTAATCCCACAAGGCACAATATGCTTAAAGTAGTTTAAATCAGGGTCCATGTTGAATGCTAATCCATGAGATGTGATCCCAGGTGAAATTCTAACTCCAATCGCGCCAATCTTTCTGCCCTCAACCCAAACCCCAGTTTCGCATTTTTGTCCAGCCTGTGCTTTCACACCATACATAGATGCCAATTCAATCATGGTTAGCTCAAGCTTCTCAACGTACATTCTAGCCCCTAAACCAATATCTCTCAACGAAACAATGGGATATAAGATCGCTTGGTGAGGACCATGAAAAGTAATGTCACCTCCTCTATGCGTATAGTGAAGTTCTACCCCCATGGACTTGAGCTCGGAATTAGGAATGAGTAGATTATGAACTGTTTCCCTTTTGCCAACTATATATGTCGGTGGATGTTGTAGGGATAATAGGGTATTAATAATTTGTAAAGCTTTTCTATCAGATGCCAGCTTCTCTTGCAACTTCAGTGCCTCCAGGTAATTTACCGTGCCCATCTTCCAAACCTCACGACTGCGCCTCATTTGCCTGAACATCACGAAACAATCAATCATTCGTGTAAGTGAAGAATACTGAAACAAAATGACAAGCTCACAATATCAGATTTTGTGGCCGGAGCAGTTTCTCAGATCACAAACTTATCCCAAATGTTATACTCTACATTTTCTCAAAGTAAAGACAAAGATACGCCTTACGCGCATAGAAGAGTTTAAAACAAATCTGTCCATTAACGCCCTCCATTCTCACATTTGTTTTTTTCCGGGAAATGGATACATGATATTAGAAAGCAAATAAAATCACACAAGCAATCAAATGTGTCTCAAATTTTGCCTACATGAACCTCATTCATAGACTAATATTGCAATAAAACTTGTTCCATAATTTAAACAGAACTTATTCTAAATCATTAATCAATTAGGCTTCTTTAATCACACAAATCATCTTTCATCCCAAATTCACCTATTTAGCAAACCATTATTATTCCTTTTAAACTAGTCTTCATTCTAAACAAACAGATTGCCCATTCCATGAATCACAAAATCACATCGCCAAAATATCAAATCGAAAAGGAAACGAAAATGAACATAGAGTTGAAGAATTGGAACCTTACTTCTCTTTGCAATTTTGGCTATAAACAAAGAGCTCTGAGAACTCTGATTGAGAACAATACTCGGAGTGACCAATGACCTCAGATAGTACAACAAAGACTCTCACCAGGGATATATACATTTAAAATCCAATTTAAAAATTTGTCTTTGAATCTGATTATTCAATATAATGCCAAATCAAGATCTGGGGTTTTCCTTTTTTTCCTTCTGTTATTGGATAAAGTAATCAATTTCATAATTTAGTTTACAACAACAAGAAACACCCCTTTTACAACATACAACCCTATATGCTCAAAACTCAAAAGTTAAGGAAGCTAACAAAGCAAGATCTAGTTTTTTCCCCTTCATTTACCTACCATACATCAAATAGAAAATCCCCTTGAAAGCATGAGTGTTACATCAAAATATTCACCAAGAATGGATTTTTTCCCCATCACCCTTTTGGTGAAGCTATATTTGGCAATAAGGAAAAAAATTCAATACTTTTTCAATTCTTGATGAAAGAAGAGTAATTCAATACAGTTATTAAGAAAAAAGGAAACACTCGAATCAATTCAAAGAAAGAAAAGTAAGTTAGGAAATATATATAAAGATAAATAAGGTAGAGAGAGAACCTACAAGATTTTTCAGGGGAAGCTTTAATTCACTGCAAAATCTTATTTTCTGTTAATTTTCCACTCCATTTCTTTCCACCCTTTGCTTCTCACAGTTTTTCCATTAACAAGTTATTGGTTGGATTTTGAGTTTGTAATATGAATTATTGGGTAAATTGATAATCTATTAAAATTATAATAATTTATTATTTTTAGCCTTAGATAAATATTAAATATTAATTTCACTATCTTACTGATTGCTCACTTTTCCTTTTAACCTTCAGTTTTATTTTTTTTGAAATTGGTAAATTGTATTCATTCAACATTAAGGCTATGCTGGCCACCTCCAAAAAATTTACAAAAAAGAAAAGAGAGATACTTACAAAGAGCCTATAAAGTCCACTAGTTGGATTTCTTCTTCTATACTCTGTTCTTTACACCAAAAACCTAGTGAAGTAATAACTTTCCACTTAACCTTCAAAATAGAGGATTCTTTTCCTTCAAAGATCCTCTGGTTCCTCTCCTTCCAAATGGTCCGCCAAATGCAGGTTGGGACTGTCCTCCACCATTTTTTTTTGGCTTTTGCTTCCTCCTCTTCTGATCCAACAGCTAAGCAAATATGTAGTATGTTCATGTATGATCCAGTTGATTCCAGCAATCGAAGTGAACATAGCCCAAACTTGTGTCGTTACTTTGTAATGCATGAAAAGGTGTTTGTTGGTTTCTAGTGCCTCCTTTTTTGCAATGCCTCATGTGTCAAGCATGCTTTCCTAGCTACTAGCCAAGTGAAGCATTTCACTTTATTAGGAGCCACACTCTTCCATATAGTAATCCAAGGTCCAGTTGACCTGCCAGTAGCAACACTCAGTCCCCTTTTGTGTATACTTTGTTAATAGTGAGAATTCCATCTGTATTAGTGCCCGGGAAGTTTCCTATTAGTTTTAGAAAATCTACCACCCATGGTATTTCCCAATCATTTAGGGGTCTTCTGAAAGTCCGGTTCCACCCTTGAGGGGACCACATTTCTTGTATACTGCATCCAGTATTCAAGCTTATTTAGAACAGTTCAGGAAAAAGGGAGTGAAGTGTGCCATGACCACTCCAGTCCTCTTCTCAAAAAAGTATCTTGTCTCCCCTACCAACTCTAACTTTAGTGTTTAGCTTGAGAGTCATCCATAGATTCCTGATAGATTTCCAAACCCCAACCCCATATGTATTAGTCACTTTATTAGTGCACCACTGCCCCTCCGGACCATACTCATGAAGGATAATCTCCCTCCACAAGGACTGATTTTCTTGAGTAAATCTCCATAGCCATTTGATAAGTAAACTCTTATTATGAAGCTTTAAGTTCCTCACTCTTAGACCTCCAAAACTTGCTTTGCTGAACTGTGCTCCATTTTATCAGGTTGAAACTTTTCTCAATCTTGCTTCCTTGCCATAAGAAATCCCTCCTCAACTTGTCTAAGATTTCCACCACCTCACCGGGGATGGTAAATAAAGACATTACATATGTTGGCAGAGAATCTAGGACTGCATTGATCAAAACAACTCTACTCCCCAGGGAAAGGTATTGTGATTTCCAAAGAGCTAGTTTTTTTTTCTGTTTTCTCTATTATTCCATCCCATATATTCACAACTTTGTGATTAGCACCCAATGGCATTCCCAAATAATTTGTGGGCAGCTCCTCTATCCTGCACCTCAAAATATCTGCCAGAGACTGAATTTGTTGCACCTCTTTCACTGGAAAAATATTGTTTTTCCTCTAGTTAATCTTCAACCCAAAGCAAGCTTCAAAGATCACCAGTATCACCCTTTGGTAGCAAATTTGTTCTTGTTCAGCTTTGCAGAAAACCACAGTGTCATCGGCATATAATAAGTGAGTCACCTCCATGATTTCATTGTTTCTGTTCTTAATGTTGAAGCCTTTTATCCAGTTGTTTGTTGCAGCTTTTCATTAGACTGCCTAGCCCTTCCATAGCTATGATAAACAGGAAAGGGGGGGGACAAGGGATCCCTTTGTCTCAGAGTGGAGAACCTGGTAATATTTTTTTTGAAAATGGTAACGAAAGGAGAACCTGGTAATATTGATACAAAATTCTATCCACTTAGTCCACCTTCTCCCGAATCCCATTTGCCTGAGAGTGGTCAACAAGAAACTCCAGTTCAGGTGGTCAAAGGCCTTTTCAATATCTAATTTGCACATAACTCCAGGCACATCTCCTCTAATCCTGGTGTCGATGCATTCACTAGCAATACGAGCAACATCCATTAGTTGCCTCCATTTGATGAAAGCCATCTGGTGGTTGTTTACAACTCTGCTTATCACCCTCTTTAATCTCTCAGCCAACACCTTTGCTATGATTTTGTAGACCCTGGAGATTGGACTAATGGGTCTGAAATATCTTAGATCATTTGCTCCAACCTTCTTAGGAATCAAAGCTACAAAGGTGGCATTGAAGCTTTTCTCAAACTTGTGGTGAGGGTGAAATATGTGGAATGTCTGCATCAGTTCTTCTTTTATTGTTTCCCAGAAAGCTTGAAAGAAAGCCATGATATGGCCATCTGATCCATGTGCTTTTTCTGCAGCACATATCTTTATCCCTGCCAATACCTCTTCTTCCTCAAAACCTCTCTCAAGGTTGTTTCTTTCTTCTGTTGAAATGCCTTGTACTTCATAAAGATTCAAATAAGGTCTCCAATTTTCTGATTCTTTGTAGAGATCTTGATAAAAATCCACAATGGAGCCCTTGATAGCCACAAGATCACTAGATAGTTCTCCATTGATCAACAAGGAATCTATAGTGTTGAGTCTTTTACGTGCAGTGGCCATTCTGTGAAAAAACTTAGTGTTTTTATAACCACATTTTATCGACTGGACTCTGGATCTCTGCCTCCAAAATATTTCTTCATTCCTGGCCACTTTGTCGTATTCCATGGCTAAATGATTATGTTAATGGTGAGAGGCTTGCTTGTTCCTCACAATTATTTGTCACAGATATGTTTAGTATTAACTATTAAGTCTAAATAATTTGAAGGAACGGTATTTAATATTGAGGGTAAACATGAACAAATATTTTTGTTTTTTTTTGTATGTCAAAAGTGACGAGTACAATGAAAATTTTATTTTAAGAATAATTGACAAGTAAAAATAAACAGAGAAAGTAATAAAGAGACCATCAACTATGTTATATTAGAGATCGAGTTGTATTTAAATTCAATTAATCAAATAAAGAGATGTCTTTTAAGATTTTCAATAATTTTGAAAATGAAATTAGCGTTTCATACATGAATTGAAAAATATTTTCAATACCTCTCTCAAGAAATTGAATTCGTAAAGTGAAGTGGCAAAAAATATAGATATAGAAACAAATTGAGTAAGTAAATTAAATTATCTTTTAACTTTATAAATCAACAAATAAAATAAACATGTAATTTTTCTAATTAATGTGATAGGCAAATAAAAATTAATGGAGATATATTCGATATCAATAGAAGCTTCGTATGACACGTGGAGAGATAAGCGTGATCCCAAGGTGACCAGTGGTTACCACAAGATAATGTAATATTTTGTCCATGTGCTTATAGTCTATTTTGTTCGATTTGATTTTATATATTATTGATTTCGTTTATAAATATACTAAATTAATAAGATTATATTTATTAATTTTGATTTTCAATTTACTAATAAAAGATACTCATAAAATAAATATATGACTTCTTTAATAATTTAAAATGACAAAATAATTATATAACTTTATAGAGCTCATAAAATAGAAATAATAATAAGTAATAACTAACGTGAAAAGAGTTATACAAGTGCAACACAAAAAGAAATTAAAAGAAACAAAGTATAATGTGAAATTGCAAACTCAAAGTAACATATAGCGTGAAATTGAAGTTAAAAGGAAAAGTGAGCAATAAGTAAGATAGTGAATTTAATGTTTATCTAAGGCTAACAATAATAAATTATTGTAATTTTAATAGATTATCAATTTACCCAATAACTCATATTACAAACTCAAAATCCAACCAATAACCCAATAATGGAAAAACTGTGAGAAGCAAATGGTGGAAAGAAATGGAGTGGAAAATTAACAGAAAATAAGATTGAAAAATCTTGTAGGTTCTCTCTTTACCTTATTTATCTTTATATATATTTCCTTAACTTACTTTGTTTTCTTTGAATTGATTTGAGTGTTTCCCTTTTTCTTAAAATCCATTTTTGGTGAATATTTTGATGGAACACTCATATGCTTTCAAGGGGCTTTTCTGTTTGATGTATGGTAGGTCAATGAAGGAAAAAAAACAGATCTTGCTTTGTTAGCTTCCTTAACTTTTGAGTTTTGAGCATATAGGGTTGTATGTTGTAAAAGGGGTGTTTCTTGTTGTTGTAAACTAAATTATGAAATTGATTACTTTATCTAATAACAGAAGGAAAAAAAAGGAAAACCCCAAATCTTGATTTGGCATTACATTGAATAATCAGATTCAAAGACAAATTTTTAAATTGGATTTTAAATGTATATATCTCTGGTGTGAGTCTCTGTTGAGAATAATGAGTACTATTTGAGGTCATTGGTCACTCCGAGTGTGTTCTCAATCAGAGTTCTCAGAGCTCTCTGTTTATAGCCAAAATTGCAAAGAGAAGTGGGCTCCAATTCTTCAATTCTATGTTCATTTTCGTTTCCTTTACGATTTGATATGCTGGCGATGTGATTCTGTGATTCATGGAATGGACAATCTGTTTGTTTAGAATGAAGACTAGTTAAAAGGAATAATAATGGTTTGCTAAATAGGTGAATTTGGGATGAAAGATGATTTGTGTGATTAAAGAAGCCTAATTGATTAATGATTTAGAATAAGTTTTGTTTAAATTATGGAACAAGTTTTATTGCAATATTAGTCTATTGAATGAGGTTCAGGTAGGCAAAATTTGAGACACATTTGATTGCTTGTGTGATTTTATTTACTTTCTAATATATGTATCCATTTCCCGGAAGAAAACAAATGTGAGAATGGAGGCCGTTTGTGGACAAGACCTCGAGACATCAGGTGAAGCATATAATAAGCTAGTTTAGGTAGTGTAAGTTTTCTTTATCGAACTTCTTTTATTTTGGATTGTAATAGTTCAGATTTGTTTTAAACTCTTCTATGCGCGTATCTTTGTCTTTACTTTGAGAAAATGTAGAGTATAACATTTGGGATAAGTTTGTGACCTGAGAAACTGCTCCGGCCACCAAATCTGATATCGTGATCTTGTCATTTTGTTTCAGTATTCTTCACTTACACGAATGATTGATTGTTTCGTAATGTTCAGGCAAATGAGGCGCAACCTTGAGGTTTGGAAGATGGGCACGATAAATTACCTGGAGGCATTAAAGCTGCAAGAGAAGTTGGCATCTAATAGAAAAGCTCTAAAAATTACTGATACCCTATTATCTCTACAACATCCACCGACGTATACAGTTGGCAAAAGGGAAACAATTCATAATCTACTCATTCCTGATACCGAGCTCAAGTCCATAGGGGTGGAACTTCACTATACGCAAAGAGGAGGTGACATTACTTTTCATGGTCCTCACCAAGCGATCTTATATCCCATTGTTTCGTTGAGAGATATTGGTTTAGGGGCTAGAATGTACGTTGAGAAGCTTGAGCTAACCATGATTGAATTGGCATCTATGTATGGTGTGAAAGCACAGGCTGGACAAAAATGCGAAACTGGGGTTTGGGTTGAGGACAGAAAGATTGGCGCGATTGGAGTTAGAATTTCATCTGGCATCACATCTCATGGATTAGCATTCAACATGGACCCTGATTTAAACTACTTTAAGCATATTGTGCCTTGTGGGATTGTCGATAAAGGTGTTACGTCTTTGAAGAATGAGACATATGTAGAGCTTCCTGCTGAAGATGTGATACAAGAGCAGTTGATCGCTTGTTTTGTAAGAATATTTGGGTACAACGATGTCGTTTTAAAAGATAAGTCTGTGTTATAATTTGGTTATAAGCACTATTGTTAACATATGCTGATACATTATGTGACTAATTTTTGTATAAGTAGACATTGTTTATTCATTTGATCAGATTAGCATTGTGGACGAGTAAGCTATGATATCAAAAGCAGATTTCTTGTGTTGTCCTTTGAATTTTTGATATCCTTATTTGTGGATATTTTTCACAGAGAGTTCTGTTTATGAGGAACCTGAGTTCCTTTGACTCTATGGAGGCACAAGTGAGTGATACCAAAGTTTGTTGAGGACATGACAAAGCAAAACAAACTCAATGTAATCCCATAAGCAAAGTCTGGGGAGGGTAAGATTAAAAGCCTTACACCTACTTTTGTGATGTAGAGAGATTGTTTCTGATTGACCCTCTAACTTCCAAGTTTGAGACCATCAATATGAACGAGCTCTAAGGCCGACTCAATAAGATTGGGGGACTAAATCGAAATATAAGAGAGGGCCCTAATACTTTTATTTTTCATTATACATACTTTTGTTCAAAATTTATTTTTCTAGCTTTTTTAGATGTGAAATTGTTAGTTACTATTTATAATCGATTTGTTTAATAATTCCTTTTAAATTAATAATCCACTCAATCTCTCTTAATACATTGTTGATCTTAAATAAGATTTAAATCGATTTTGTTTCGAAAAACTTTTTTAGGATGAGGTAACGGTTACAATAACTGCAAACATTTTCTACCCACTTGACTCCGTAATGACATGTCTAGATAGTTCTCTAAGCTTCCTCTGTTTGTTTACTGATACATAACATTTTATTGTTTAGATAAGAGCATACACTTTGCTAACTAAGGTTTGAATTCTAGTGCATTTTAAATACGATATTCACTCCGACTGCAGTATGGATGTAGCAACCTTTGTACCCAGACTAGCTGTGGCAACTTCTAATGATTCACATAGCCCTTGAAATCTTGGGCATTGAAGTCTCGTTGTATCAATATGTGGGAATAAGCCTGATCCAACAGGTCCACTGAATCCTTCTCTGTTCAACTGCCTTGTGATTTCCTTTCCCAGGAAGAGTTTGAAACACAAAGCTTAGAGCTCTGAAACTTATATACATGAAAGTCTCATACCTACCATCTCGAGATACACTGCTAGCTTTAAAATTTGCTTCAAATCTGAAATATCTGCTTATGAGTATTACTCTGACTGATCATGCATGAGCAAGTAGCTCCTAAGTCAAGTGCTGTTAAATAACGCAGATTTGAGTTGAGAATTGTGTATAACTAAATTTACATGGTCGTCAAAATATAGAAGCATATTGCTTTGGGTGATCTGTGTGAAGCTTAGTAGTTCCTATGAATTATGATTAGTGCTATCAACACAAAATTGATCTAAAACTTCCAAGTTCCATATGATGAACCTCAGTTGAATGATTTTTTGGGAGTAATTTTTATTCGTGAATTGTTTACTTGTGAAAGCGGGAAAAGAAAGTCCTTTTGTCTGAAAACTCCTCTAATTTAAAGATACTTGTTGAATACCCACTTTAAATACTAAATCAATGTTGGTAGTGTGCTGATTGAACACATTTTGGTGTAATGATGGTTGAAATGGAAGATAAAAGAAAATCAAAGTCCAGGGTCTCTCGTCAGTTTCTTTGGGCAGTTGATAGAGTACTGACATGTTATGAAACTATTCTTCTTTTCGCAGCTTGTCCAAATAGTATCCTTTACAGCCCATTACATTGACTTAGAATTAGAAGGCCTAACCTCTTGTTCCTCACAATTCTGATTTCACACTATTGGATTGTCAAAAAAATACTGGCAGATGAAGACTTCTATATTTTCTCTTTTATTTTCTGAAATATTAGAGCAAAAAGATTTCAAGTATAATTTTAACCAACATTTTACGCTGACTGCACTTTCTGGTTTTGCTACAAAATTTTGAACTGAGTTTATGTGGTAAGTTCCCTTTCAGCTCTCTTGGATGAGTTAGACTTGAACTCTTGGGTTCTAGTGCCGATCTCCTTCTCTTCTAGTTATCACGGGTTGCTAAGTAAGGAAAAGGAAAGTACCAAGAGTTACACTTGAACCCCTGGGCCCTAGTGCTTATCTGTTTATCCTTTGTTGCTAAGAGAGGGAAAGGAATGTACAGATGATAATCATTTACACTTTATATGTGTGGTTAGTCAGCAAGCAATGAAAACTGTCTTACATGAAAGACTTGACTCTAAGTTTAATCCCAGAAAAATATTTTGATAACTTGAAAGCAAATAGTTTGTGTTTTAAACTCCATTTCCTTTCACATAGACAAATGCAAGAACATGATTTTTGATTTCCTTTTCTTTTGTTCACATCAAATTTCTCAAGAAATATATTTTCAGGTAACTTTCTTGACATCCCAACACGAGAGAAGTTAATCTTTTCCTTTTAATTACTGCTTATTCTAAATTTTTAGGAGTGGTCAATGCAAAATTTAGATCGTACAGAAACACTACATATTATATTGAAGACATCCCTAATATCTCACTTTCAGATAAATATACCTAAAACATCACTGTGACTTGCAACTTATAAGCTAACCCGACAAGAAATTTCACTTATAGTTACGGCCGCCATTCAGCCGGGCTTCGGTCGCCGGCTCCCCTGTCATCACATCACCAACTTCCTTGACCTTCTGGATGTCTTTAGAGTTTAGTAGGAAGTGTACGGTTTTCACTGTTTATTTGAGATGGATTCTTAATGGTGCCATCTGTCAATAGCCAACGTTATATCCTTGTGTTAGGAGTAAATATGTTTTATACTCTTCTTCTGCATTTTTCATCAACCTCTATTGACTTCTCAAATCTTCGGACCACTAACAGTCACCAGCTGCCACATGAACTCATACCCTTTTCTTACTTCCATCTGTGCTTATTATGTCTATGATTTTATGTCTCGGGCTTACAGGATTGAGTTAGCATCTTCAATTGGAACCACTCTAATCTTCTTTCTCTGCTTAGTTAAAAAACCTTCCCCTTCTTATAGGTGTTAAAAAATCTTCCACCTCACATAAGTGACATATGATTTGATCACTGAAAGTCTATTATTCTTTTGCAAATCTGGAAGCTTTACTTTAGCATTTCATAATCATACACAATATGAATTAGAATGAGGGGCAACCAGTTGGCTTTATCCAACAACAACAACATACCCAGTGTAATCCCACAGGTGGTGGGATCCGAGGAGGGTTGAGTGTACTCAAACTTTACCCCTACCTCGTGGAGGTAGAGAAATTGTATTTGAAAGACCCTCGACTCAAGTAATGTATATCAAAGTTGTTTGAAGAGAAAAATCCAAAAGTAATGAGGACATAGCAAACAATAGGGAAAACACTACATAGCATTCAGAAAACAAGGAACAGTAACAACAATCAAATAATGTGATAACCGAAGCATAGGAAACAACAGGTAGTAACAAAAATAATCTGTTTCATTTGTTTGTGAATTTCTTGTGAGTGAGACAGTAATGAATCATGAACAATACAGCTTGGAGAGGGCATCATTATATTTGGTTGAATCTATTAATAATGGTGGTTAGTTTGGAGTGATGCAATAGCCCTTGACTTTGGTATCTTGCATCTAGCACCTTTATGTTGTCTAATTTTGTGCTTTGGCTACTTCCTTAAATTGCTGAAACAGTTGCAGTTGCTGCACTTTACTTTGAGGTGCAAAGAAGTTCTTGATCCGAAGCCAAAAAGGAGGAACTTCGCAGGCAAGAGCTGGAGGTAGTCTCTCGAATTCTTCGGTTACTTGTTTGGTCTTGACAAACTCTTTCATATCACCCAAAACCAAAAACACTGAACATTCCTAAAAGTATATGTTTGTTCCTGTGATGTTATCTCAGTAAACATCTACCTTTGCATCTCTTTCTCAAGTTTATGGTTACTGACTAAAATTCTTAAGAGCTAACTCTTGAGGTTGAGTTGACAAGGTCCATTTTTTAAGTATTCTTATTATTACTTATAAATATTATTATTATTATTATAAATTAGGTTATGGTTACTTATTCTATCTCAATGTAATTTCATGGAATGGGCCCAGTAAAGCGAGCACTTTCTGGATAACATAACGGAGCAATTTTGTGCCACTTCCATCATTGCTCTTGCATACTTCTCTTAGAGAAGATAGGTGGATGCACCAAGTATCCCTTTAATTACATATCATTTCTATTACCAAACCTGAAAATGCACCCTGATTTACCTGGCTCTTTGTAGCAGCAGAAGGAACTGTTGTAATTTGCTAATTTGAATTTTATTGATTCTGGTGTTAAACAATTATGTTCTATTACATCATGAGTTGAGATCAAAAACCCCTATTAGCTCTTATAATGAACTGAAATTCATCCTTCTTGAAATTTGTTTGAGCTATATTTGAGATCCTTGTGTTTTTTCTCAGCAAATGAGGGAAAGAGATGACTCATTGTCACGAGAGGTGGAGAGCCTGAAAAGCAAAATTCAAGAGCTTGAACAGTTGGCAAGGGACGAGGACTAGCTGGAGTGTTCAATTTCAGACCTTCTCAAGTTGAAGAAGGCAAGGTACCAACACCAGCATGATCTTTTGTGTGATGTTTTTGGCAGCAAAATGATCAGATATTTTCTCATTCTTTGGAGCCAAGAATCATATGCCTTCTGTAAACCAGAAGCCTAGGCTCCTTGCTGAAAATGAAGTTGAATCTTTTGAAAATTTCCATTGATGTGATCAATATTGTGAGTTCCATAGCCTGAGTTTTTGGTGTTTCCTCCTTTGATTTATGGTACTATACTGATTTTACATATGTCTAACACCACATGCTTTTAAGAGACTTGTGTACTTAGCATCATAGGGTGCTAAATAGTGAAATGTTGTTCAGCCATGTTCTAATGCTCAATACTGGTGAAGTGACATTATGACCAGATGCCCCTTACCAGCAAAAGTTATATATAAATACAAATGTAACACCAATATTTATACTTTTGCACGTTTATATGAATGGGAGGCATCATGAATTGACTACAGCCCATAGGGAATCTTGAATATGGATAGTGGGGGTGTGCCCTTTATGCCTTCCTTGCCTTGTTGTTTCTCTCTTTTTACTTACCCACCAAAAGGGACCTTTTTTGCTGATGGATCTGAATTTTGCTCACAAAGGCTTTCTATCTTCTTTCTCAATTTGGGTAAAAAGGACCAATCTCTTTGTGCCACCTCAATTCTAAAAATGGAGTCCTCTTTTAGTGTTTCTTTTTTCATTCTTCTTTAACTTTTTGGTCCACTGCAATACATATTAATAATCAGATTCATAATTCAAAAGGAATTTTTAAAGGGTAAATAAATCTTTGATATGTTTTTAATGTATAAATTCAAAGTAAAATAAGAAGTCAATGTATGCTTGTCAGTTCTTATGCTCCTAACAGTTTTTTTTTGTGGTGAAGTCCATTTTATTTAGTCATTTACAAAATAGGATGCTTTATTTTTTTAAAAAATAAATAGAAAAAACCTTATGAGTTGTGGAAAAATTATATATTAACTTGAAATATTAGAAAGTTGGAGGAGTCTTGCGTATTTTATAAATACATGATCCTGCAATAAATCCATAATAAAGTAATATATTGAATTGTTTATTTCTCGGATATGTTGATGCATATAAATTTCTTGTTATGTTAGTAGTGATATGATTGAGCGTAATAATACAGTTGAAATAAAAAAACAATTGATAATATTTTTTAAAATAAGAGATAATATTTCCTGTGTTCCTATTATTCAAAGTGAAAATACTTCTAACGCTCATTGTTGTACAAAATGATTTTGAAAATGAGAATTTAAGGAGGAGTAAAAGAACATTTATCTTATTGATATTGATTCTATATGTTTTCTAACACAATTTTTTCTCTTCGCACGCCTCTTATAAAGAAATCATAAAAGCTAAAACAAATTATATTCTATAAAATAATACTTAAGATTTATTGGTTTACCCGAACAACTAAATTCATTAGTGGTAAATAATTACTTTTTAAATGGTAGTATAGCTTTGATGGTTCCACTGATAGATATAAACCTAGATTCATTAACTACGATTCATATGTATTATAGAGTCGGTACTACTATTATCTAATGCTTACAACAATGCAGCCACATATGATATAATGATGCATATTATATATAAATAAAACAATATTAATTATTTCGACACTTATGCAAAGAAATCTATATGTTAAATGCAACTACACTAAAGAAAAATTAGAGTTAAACATTACAATTTACAAGGGTGTCAAAAACCAATAAGAAAGTCATAACTTATTGCAAATTAAGATCTTATGTCCAAAAAATAAGCATGCAAAAAACTGAAAATATATATTTTTTTAAAATACCTATTATCTTCAATTTTTTATATACAAAAATTAAAATGTGATAAATTCATTGCATAAAAAAAAAAGTATAATGTATACTAATGTTTCCTTTGATTTTTCAAAAAATAAATAAATTCCATTTAATACTAATCAACCATACACACCACATATATAGTTGATTAGTATTAGTGTAGACATTTTCTATTTAATATATTTAAATCAAGATTTCATGAAATCAGACCACACACGAATATTTTAATTTCAGTTGGATTTAATTTTTTAGTTTTATCTTAATTAACAACTGCCACGTAGATTTTTATATTATTTTATATTTTCTCAAGGGTTTGGATAGAAATATATATAAACCAGTCTTTCAATATAGAGAGAGAAAATTTCACAGACAGGAAATCAAAACCCAAAAACACTTCGTACACTTTCTCTCTCTTCACTGTTCGGAGGCCGCAATCACTCCTGTATCCTCCGACCCACCCGCCGATAACCAGTAAGAACCCTATTCTTCTTGCCGGTTGGGAATTTTCCAGTTTTACTTTACCAATTTCGGCTTTTTAAACCTTTTTTCGATTGACTAATTTGTGAGTAATTGTCTACTTTTTTGCCATGTTTTATTCTTTTCTTTTAAATCTTGCTTTATGTGTATATTCCCTTAAGAATTGTTAGTTGATTGTGATGATGTTATTGTTCTTTTGATTCCCAGATTTAGGGTTAGGTAAATGGGTTTTCTACCGCCGTTAAGATCGCCTTATTTCCTGGGTTTTTGTTGAATCGAGCAAGATTGCGTCTTTTCTGATTTGGGTGTTGTGAAACTTTTGGTTCTTGAGGTGCAATTTGGCTACTTTTGGTGGTTGTTACTTTTGTTTGATTATATGGGAATTTTGGTTCGGGTTTAATACTTGATTTGTGTGCATAGGTTGGATCTTATTTTGTGGTTTTTAATTTCTTTTTCTAACATGAAATCTGGAATGTGATCTTGTTGGTTATCTTGGGTTTATGTGTTGTGCTTGATGGTGGAATGGAACATATTATGATGATTACTTTAAAACTGAGAATGTTTTGGCTTTTTGCAGGTGAAGAATTGAAGGGTTTCTTCTGTTTGATTAGATGGGGAAGAGTTCGAAGAATGGTGCGCTCTTCAAGGACAAGGCGAAAAATCGCGTTGATGATCTGCAGGGTATGTTCATGAACCTGCAATCTGCAAGGAAAGAAAGTCGAACTTATGATGCTGGGGTGCTGGAAGAGCAGGTCCACCAGATGCTTCGTGAGTGGAAAGCTGAGCTCAATGAGCCTTCCCCTGCCTCTTCTTTGCAGGCAAGAACCAACCTTATGTCCTTTTAGAGGGGTGTGAGGTGGTTTTAGTTTCCTTTACTGTCCACAATGTCCATGTTGTGATATTGGCCGGTACACATCAGTCTTAAATTAATGTGATCAAATTTTGATATTTCTATGTCGACCTGCATGTGTCTTTATCTGAGTGTGTTTGTGATGTCTAATGTTATGTTTGATTGAAGCATCTTGAACAAATGCTTACAAATTTTTGGATTTATTACACGTGCAAATTTGAATCACTTCAAGAGTAATTGTGTCGGTCTCCATTATGGTGTAATTGTGTGCAATCATGGTAGCTACTGTTTTAAGTATGTTTCTGTGTTCAAGCCTTTGTTTATAGTTTTAATGCACATGAAGTTGTAGTGTTTATCTTAATACATGGTGTGCAGGGAGGAAGCCGTATCTCATCAGACCTCTATAGGCTGCTGCATGGTGAGGAGGAAGATGATGCTACCAGTGCATTAGCTGCTCCTAAGCCTGAGCCTGATGCTCAAAAACAAGATGTTACTGGTTTCCAGGAGGTAATTATTTTCCTTCAGATTATTTTGTTCATGTGATGGACTCTTGACTGTTATTGTTTCTGACAGAATGAACCTTCTCCGAATCCATTTTAGAATACGGTTGGTTGGTTATTCAACTTAGGAGTTTCAATTTCATTGTAGTTCGTGTATTGCTAGACTCTCCATCTTTGTTTTATTTGATCCAGTCTCCATCTTTTATTTTCCCAGCTTAATTAATAGTTGACTTTTTGTTGCAAATAGATTAAAAATAAAAAAATGTGAACTGAAATCATTGGTTGTTGATGCGATTTTGATAGCTGAGAATCTGCGGAGAGAAGTATTACTAATGTTAGCTGGTGCTATATGCGTTGGATCCGTGGAGGGTGGTATTGAATTATTTTGGGATGCAGTGGTTGATGCGAGACTCTTTCAGAGATGTGTTATACTGCTGGTTAGTTAGAAGCAAGGGAAGATAACATAGGGTGGGAGGTTGTGCACGTCTAGCTCTTATGTGGGTAGTATGGAGAGAGAAATAGGTGAGCGTTAGATGAAATTGAAATGATGTTGTACATTCGAGGAATAGCCTTCTGTCTTTGATTGCTCTTTTGTGCACCCTTAAATTCCTATTTGTATAGACGACTGGGTGTCATTTGTAGAGAATCATATTCTTTTGTAGAGTCTCTGCCTTTTGGTGTATACCTTTTGTATGCGGGAGCTTTTCCAATGTAAGTAACATTATTTACCTTATTAACAGAAAAGTGATCCCTTGATATGTGAAATACTCTTTTTTCTTGTCCTGGTAGACCATAGTGTGGAATTTCATTACATTTATTGGTCGTATATTCTTGTAGACTAGGTGCTTAATTTGGTATATCTGAAACATGTAGTTTTCTTGTAAATTGAATCTAATATTTGTTATATAAAATTTTCTCTACTATTGCCTTCATTAGTTTCTTTGATCTATTGCCCCCTGGAAGCTTGCAGACAAGAGTGTACATGGTTTGGTTTGGATAGGTTTTCCTCTAGAAGGAAACCAAACCTATTAAGTCGGGTTTTCAAATGTTATAACCAAGCCAATTAAGTTGGTCTTTCATCTCTTCGGTTTTGGTCCCAGAAAGTGCTTTTGGAAGTATCTCAAAATTTGGAAACTGTGAATGTTACTCAGTTTTCCTTAGTCCCTCATTACACATTAATCAATACTGTCGCACCAAATTAGTTAGGGCCAGTGTTATGTATCCGTTGTATCCATTCTGCTCTATTCAAAGGATCAGGATAGCTAAACTATTTTCCTGTTGACCTTAAACCCATCAGGATAATTTTCCTTTAATCCCGGCTGGGACCAGTTGTGCTTTGCAAAGTTCACAGATGCTGAGTTCTCTCTCTGTTACATATGTTACATAAATTTATTCGTACCATTTGCTGGTTGTGTCTAATTCCTTTTTGCTTAAAGGACTCAAGATAGTAGTTGACTAGTGACCACTTTAATCTTCTTTTTGATATAGCTGGTGTGGTATTGTGGACTTGGAAATGCTTTCCTCCAAATTGTGTCCTCATAATGTATTTTGTCATGACTGACCATCTTGTTGAAGTTTTACTTCTTGCTTCAATTTGATAATCCGTTTGCCGACATTTTCTTTTTCTAGCCTCAGTCTCCAATGAATGTCACTCCTTGTAGAGACTTCTTGACCGTCCTTTTTCAATTAGCTTTTCTTTTGAATTCTTTTTTCTCTTATCAGTTTCACCCACTAATTTTAGCAATGAATCCTCACTAGTTAAGTGATGTGTTTTCTGCAGGGTTTCAATGCAACGCCGGTGCTGCAGG